TCTCTCGCCCCCAACCCCACCCCGCAGGAGGGTCCTCACATGCTCGGGAACCCCCAGCCCCAACATGGACGGTTGGCCAAGGTCTCTGGGCCAAGGGGTGGGGGTTGGAGTCCTGGGGCTGCGGAGACCTGCAGAACCTGGACCCAGTGCCCCCAAGATCGTGCCCCAGGGGCCCCAGGGATGGCAGCAGAGTCACCAATGAACACTGATCCCCCAATTCCAGCATTTCTGGAACACAGGTTTGTGACTTCTCAACCTCCATTCCCGGGGGACCAGCACAGGCACTGTGCTGGGAAGGGGACGAGTGGGTGCCTGGGGCTGGGGGACGGCAGGACGGGCCCATAGGTAGAGGGTCCAGCCTCTCTTTAAGAGAACGCAAACGTCCCAGGATTGACTGTGGGGATGGCTGCACCAAGCTGTGAACACACTCTGTGAGCACGTGGGTTGTCACGGTACATGAATCCCACCTCAACAAAGCTCCTATAGCAGAGCTGCTGGAAGGGTACCCACAGGTCGGGGGGCGAGGCCGAAGGGGGCACAAAAGCAGGGCTGGCCTGAGCACTCAATGGACACAACCATCCAAAGCTGGAGCCGTAGCCCCCCACTCGCCCGGGACCCAGGCCAGTGCCGGGCGAACCCTCGGGGCCGCCGGCGACGGCACGGAGCAGGCACACCCTAGGGGCAGGAGCCGGCACAGAGCTTAAGATGCCCGGCTCAGTGACGGGAGGCCTCGGGGAGGCCTGGCCCTGAGCCTAGCCAGGGCATGCCAGGCAGAGGGACACCAGCCGCAGCCAGGCCAGGGTCTGCCCCGCACCCCCGCAGCCCTTCTAGGAACTGGCCTGATGCAACCGGCTGGCCCTTCTCAGAGTTTGGGGGTCTGGTGCGCGATACCCCACCGTCTCTTCCTAGGACTCAGTTTCCTTTCTGCACAGCGAGTGCTGGGCCACCCCAAGGCCAGGGGGCTGTCCTGGGGCCTTCCGCAGGGTCCCCTACCCCAGGGAGGTGAGCCAGGAAGGAAGGGGGCCGAGGTCTGGGCCCCCAGAGTGGGGGAGGGCAGGACAGCGACCGTGACCCCCCAGCCCCCAGGTTAGGGCGCCGAAGCTTCCTCTTCCGTTGTTTGTTTTTGAAGGGAGAGTTCAGACCATCAGCAACCAGGAAACGACAAGGCCCAGCCCCGCCGCCCCCTCACCTCCAGGGCAGGGCAGCCCCTACTCCTCCTCCCCCCGCCCCGTGAAGGACTCCCACTGGTCCCCGCCGCCTCCCAGCACCTCCTTCCCCTCGATCCTGCCTGCGGGTGCAGCTCCGTGGGAACTCCTCAGGAGCCCACGTGGGCAGAAAGGCCTGAAGCCACAGCCACACGGGCACCTGGATCTAGGGGCCTCCCTCACCTGCCAGCCAGAGAAACTGAGGCCCAAGGGGGGAGGTCCTGCACCCCCTTCTCACACAGTCCTGCAGGCCCCCAGCATTTGCTCTCAGTAGGCTGATCAAGCCTCTGTGGCCCTGCCCGTAGGAGCTCAGCACAGCCACCACCTCCTTCAGGTCAGGGGGACCAGGAGGGGCAGGTGTAACCTCTGTTCCACAGGGGAACCTCAGGCCCAGCCGGACGGCAGCAGCCAGTGGAGAGCCCGGCCACATGGGGGTGGTGCCCCGCTGTGTACAGGGCAGGCATGCTCCCCGGAGATGGCAGCCACCACCTCCATTTGAACGGCGGAGAAGGGGGGCAGTGAGTCCCCACGGCCATCAGGTGCCTGCTGGACAGAGGGAGGGGGCAGGGAGGTATCACGGCCCAGGAGCCTGCTCTGCCGGGGGTAGGGTGGGGTGCGAGGGGCTCCCAGGGCCTAGAAATGGGGGGGGGGTAAAGGAGAGGGCCTCGCTGTGCCAGAAATGGGACCGCGTGGGCACTGAGAACGGGACCCTGTGGTTAAGTCAGACAGAGGCACAGACCCACAGCCCACGCACACATGTGACCACTTCCCTCAACCCAGGCCCAGCCTGTACCCTGCTCAGACCACCACCCCCGCCCCTCCCCACATCATCTCCATGCCAGCCCAGCCCCTCCCCTAGCCGCATCCTAACCTACAGGGACAAGAAAGAGTGTGGTGACGGGTCCCTCGGGACTCTCCAAGGGTGGGGCTGGGCCTGGACAAAATCACGGCTTCCCTACCCCCACTACCAGGACAGGGGAGAGGGCTGGAGCCTTGGGCCACTGGGTCCTGGCCCTGTCAGAGCACACTCTGCCCAGCCCAGTGAGCCCCCGCTCAGTCCAGGAGCTGCCCCCACAGGAGGCCTTACTGCCCCTCTAGCCCCATCCGTCTACCCATCCATCCGTCCTCCAGTGTCTGAGGGCCACTTCATGCAGGCCCTGGCCCACAGGCTCCCTGCACACTCCCTCTGCCTTCCCCAGGAAGGGTCCGCTGGGGTGGAGCTTCACCAGGCTTCAGGAGGGAGCTCAGCGGAGGCTTCTTGGAAGAGGTGGCACAGAGGCAGAACCTTCTGGAATGGCTGCACGGGACAGGAGGAAGCGTAGCGAGGCTGCCCCACTCAGCCCAGCCCTACATCCCCTGGCTGCCAGGCACAGAGACCGGGAGCAAGAACAAGGAAGGGTTGTAAACGTGTCCTGACTCCAGGTGGGGCTCAGACCCATCTCAGGTATGCACAGGTGCGCTCAGGTGCACGGCGACCTGCTGCCTGGATTCCTCCATGGGCCCAAAGCCAGCTCTCTCAGCAAAGCCACGAGGGAACCCTGACGCTCCTTCTCCTCACCCCCAGAAGAAAACAAGAGTTCCTTCCCGAGCCCCCATCTCAGGAAATGTCACCACCATCAACCTCGGCCCCAAATCAGGAGGTATCCTTCATCCTCCCCAATATCTAATCCAAGCCCGCCCATCCCCCACCCCTCCCCGCATGACTGCTGCCCCTTCGCCTGGCGGCCCACAGCGGCCACCGCAGCCACAGGAGGTCCTCCCGGGCCGGCCGCTGCCCCAGCCCCCAACAGGACAGCCCCATGTTCTCTCTGACGCATTTGGGGGCCCATGCTTGTCACCCCATGAGGCACCCCAGAGTCAGCACACAGGAGAGCTTCCAGCATTCGTGGGCCAGAAGAACGGATGGACGGACATACATGTGAAAACGCTGAAAAACCGCAGCGGCAGGAGCATGTGGGGAGAGCAGGCCAGCGGGCAAGTGGGCGGCACCAGAGGGTCCCAGGTTCACCAGTGATGGGGTGCTGGGCATGAGGGGCACCTCAAGGGCCACAGGCCTTCCTCCATCAGGCAGGGGGCAGGATGGCAGGACACAAGCCTGGAAGGGGACACCCACCGGGCTTAGGAGGCCTGCACAGGGCACCACACCCCACCTCGGCCTTGCTCAGTGCTGCCCCCCTGCCCCCTGCCCCCTACCGCGGACCAGCACAGCAAGGGTCCCTCTCAGGACCCACCCTCTGACCTGAGGCTGCTGAGCCCCATGCATTCCGACTCAGGGCCCCCCACAAACAGTATCTCCACTCCACGAGGCCATTCCCCCAGGGAATGAGGCTCAAGGAGCTCAACCAACCTGCCCCAGAGAGGAACCCGGGGATGGAGTGGCAGAACCAGGGTTCCAACCCAGATCCCTGGATGCTGCACACAGGCAAGTGCCAGTGGAAAGTCACCAGGCTCCAGAGGGAGACTCCTGTGGAACCAGCTGGATGCCCCCTGGGCAGCCCTGAAGCCCAGCTTCTCCTGGGTCAGCCCTAGATCTAACAGTCAATCAACAAACATTTGCCAAGGCTCACGAGGTACAGGCCCAGGCAGCAGACTGTTCCCGAAGAGAACAACAGGGGCAGGGGTGGGTGGGACCTCCTCCACACCAGAAAGGCTGACTGGTGAGGCAGAGGTGCTCCAGGCACAGCAGGCAGGGCTCCTAGGGAGCAAGGAGCAGCTGAGCACTGAGGAAGGGGTCGACAGGGCAGGCAGGTGCAGGAGGCCTTGGGGGAAGCCAGGCACAGGGGTGTCCCCAGACCACAGCCCTGCAGCCTCCTCACCTCTGTCTTGAAGCCTGACAAGCTGTCCTCCCTGCGGTGACCAAATTGAGCTCTCAACTCAACTGACCACATCCTTAATCCCCTGCTCAAGCCATCCCAACGCCCTCGAGTCTCATCTCAGCCACTCCTTCGACGGCTACCCCAGCTCCTACAGCTTCTCAGGCTGGCTTTGCTGGGGAGCTCCTATGCATCGTACAAAACCCCATGTCTCATGACACCCGCTTCTCCCATCTGTGTCTGAGGTTCCCCTTGGGGGAGTCTCCTGGAGAGCATGAGAGGCCTGGCAATGCTCTGGTGTGGGATCACCGGGAGGGAGCAGGTCTGAAGGAAGAGGAAGTCAGGAATGGGGCGGGGCAGTCCCCATACTGGGGGGGGGGGGCCTCACCCAGGGTACCTGGACACGAGGCCCCAACCCGGAGGGGCAGACTAGCTGGTCCGCCCTGCCAGCGCCTGCCCAGAGAGCAGCAGGGGTGGGGCGGGGAGCTGGTAGGCAAGGCTGGGAGGGGAGGGTCCAGGCTTCAGCTCCCACTCCCCAGCTCCCTCCCAAGCGCCCAGCCTGTGCCTGGGGTCCACAGGGGAGAGAAGAAAAGAGGAGGGGGTGGGGGACAGGGGTACCAGGCTCAGCCAGCGGGCAGCTCTAGCACACACCCACCCTGTGCCGGCCCCTCCCCAGGCCTGGGGCAAGCGCTGGGCCAAGACAAGCAGCTCTGCCCTGCTCTGCCCTCAGGAGCCCTCAGGCAGTGCCCCGGACGGCTGCCTGCCCGGCCTTGGAAGGCCCGTGTCCTCACCACCTTCCAGGAACGCCAGGAGGGAAGCTGGCAGCAGCTCTCCCACCCCGTGCCCCAGCCAGACGGCCATTCAGCAGCCGCCCTGCCTGGCTGCATGCTCAGTGGGGGCTCACAGCCCCCCACCTAAGCTGGCCCAGGACGATCCCTGGGGAGGGGACCCTCCATCCCCAGCCCCCCGGGCATGCACTGACCTCGCTTGTGCAACCAGCCCTCCTTCACAATGGCCACGTCGTTCATGGTGCTGGGCTCCGGTGGGGACCCCACGACCCTCGGCTCCTCCTCCTAGGCAGGTCTCCGAGCCCTGCGGTGCCCACAGCCGCTGCAAGACAAGGGACATGCGTGAGGCCAGCTCCTCCGGCCCCGTGATCTCAGTGGCCGGCTCATCTCCTGCCCACCAGTATGACCCACCCTTCTTGAAGCTCAGACCCCGCTGCTGTCCCCCCACCACCGTCCCCTCTGTCACCTGGCCCTTGTATGAATCACTCCCAACTCCCAAAGGCCCTCTGGCTTATCCAGTCTCCCTAACCTGCCAACCCAGCTGAGAGGTCACCTCCTCCAGGCAGCCCTTTGGACTGCTTCAGCCCATGCCTCCCCAAGCCCCTGATCACGGGTACCCTGTCTGTTCTCCTGGCCCATGGGGTTTCTGCCCACAGGCTGGGGTGCCCAGGGCAGGGCACAGGGCCCCTCCTCCCTGTCCCCGAGACTAGGAAAGGAGAAAAGGTCCAACATAACAAAGGCAGGGCCAGGAGTGCAGGCAGCTTGCCCAAAGGAGAGCCCAGAGCTGCCCCAGGAGACACGGAAAACCTCCCCTCGAAAACCCCCAAGCCCCTCCTAAACCACAGCGCCCCTGCCTGTCTGAATCTGGCTCATTCATCCAGTCTCCAGGTACCCAGCATCTCTGGTTTTGCCAGGCCCAGTGCTGGGGCTGGGGACAAAGAGAGGTTCAGATGGACCCTGTCGGCAAGGAGCACCCAGTCCAGGGTGGTTATAGACCTATAATTATGGCATTCAGGAAGCAACAAATTGGGGGGGGGGAGGCTGCACAAACAGCAGCACTGGCACCCCTCCACAGAGGCCCACCAGCCAGACCTTGCTTGAGTAGACACGTCGACCATTGATCCTGCATGCCCCCCCTGCCCCCGCCCTGCTCCCCTGTTGGATGAACTCCTAGGCATCCCTCAAAACCCAGCTCCCACGTCACCCTCTCTGGGCATCCAAAAAAAGGGCACACTCCTCCTGTGAGCAGTCCTCTGCTACCCCTCCAGATGGGCACTCCCAAAGGCGGGCCTGGGGGACTCCTCAGGGACCCCCTAGCTGAGCAGAAGACCTCTGTGGAATTGATCCCAACTTAGACACCAGCTTACCCTGCAGCCCAGGCCAGGTGGCTTTGCACTGATTGTCTTAAGCTGAATTGAAAGCAGCAGGAAGGCCCCATGCCTTGTGACACCAGGGCAGGGAAGCCCCCACCCCCACCCCCGAGCAGGAGCGTGCTGGGCTCAGCAGGCCCATGGGCAGTGCCCAGAAGCAAGAGAAACAGAGAAAGATACGCCTGGGAAAGGTGATGGGCACAGGGGGCTCTACGAAAACCACCGCCAGAGATCTCGGGACCTGGAGTGGGCACAGCCTGGAGGCAGGGGGCTGGACTCAAACACCTCTCTGTGTCCCCCTCCCGCCTGCGCCCCGAAGGGAGCCCGCCCCAGGGCCTGTGCTGACAGGGTCAGACAGCTGCTGAGAGCTCCCGGCCCCAGTGTGTAAAAATATATCTATGCACACACAGGGCGGTGTGTCGGCGCTGAAAACGTGCGCCCCAAACCAGCCACCGGGCAGCTCCGGGGCCAGGCCTGAGGGCGGAGGCAGCCGCGGACACGTGCTGCCGCGAGCGGCTTCCAGTAGCGTGTTATTGCTACTGCTGTTGTTGTTGCTGAAATCACAACTTTACAACAAAAGCCTGCGCTCAGAAGGGGCTCCCCCTGCCCGGCCTGAGAATGCTAGGTTTTGAACTGTGTGTGTTCAGCTGGGGGGCGGGGAACCAAGCCCCCGACGAAGCACTCCCCGCTTCACGTGGACCAGGGGCTCAAACCAGTCAAGAGTGGCCACTTGCAGCAAGGCTGCCCACCGCCGCCCCCCCCAAAGTAAACGTGGGGGCCCTGCAGCCACAAACGCAGCCCCCACCCTGCCCAAGAGGGCAGCACTCGAACGAGGAGGGGATTCCCCAGCTGCCCCAGGACCCCCCCCCCCAAGGTGAGGAGACAAGCCCCAGCTGCCTTCCAGGCCCGGCCCCGGGATGCGTGGGCAGTGCCCCCGGCGCCCACCCAGGACAGGAAGCCGGTCCGGGGCCTGGAGGGAAGGCCGGGCCCAGAAGAGGTTAGAAGCCTTTGTGGGCTGGCCTGGGCACCCGGCCACCACGGACAACTTTTGTCTCTGGGAAAATGAGCTCTTCTTCCTCGGCCCACCCACAAATGCGGACGCGGCGGCGGGTCGAACCTTCCCCCAGGCCGCCTGCGCACCCACTGTGCGCCAAGCCCCGCTGGCCGCGCGCTGAGAGCCCCGCGACTACGGCCGCGCAGGCGGGCCCCCTCTCCCACTCTGGGCCCGGCCCCAAGGTCATGCGGGAGCCCGGGCC